ACACTCACACACTGATGGGGGCAAGCTACATTGTAGCCACAGCTGCCCTGGGGCTCACTGACAGAAGCGGGGGTGCCGTACACTGGCGCCACTGGGCCCTCTGACCACCATCAGTAGACAATGCAGGTGAAGTGTCTTGCCCAAGGACACAACGACACTGAAAGTCGGAGTTTGAACCGTCAACCCTTCGATTTCAGGGCAAACTCCTACATCCAACGCCACTGTCGCCCCAGATGGCTGTTTAATATGCACAACACAGTGTAAGAGTTGCTTTCAAACTCATTGTGTATTTAAGAGATGCATTCCCAGATAAAAAGCTGCGGTTTGGTTCATCAGTTATTCCAATTTTTAAAGCTAATGGGGAAACCAAGTTTCTGTACAGCAGAGTTCAATGATAGCAGAAAGTCTGAGTACTTTGCTATGCTAAGCTTCTGCAGCAGAAAGTACAGTTCTTCACTTGAGCTATAGAAACCTAAATATTATGTGGGTGTAAAGGCTTAACACTGCACTAATCTTTTGGTATAGACCCATGCTGAACCTACCAAACTGAAATAAACATTTTTGGCATTAATACATGTATTCACCGCAGCCCTTTTTCTAACAACATTGGTATTACAGTGGTCAATGTTAAACTGGAGCGAACCAATAAAGGGTTTAAGATCTGCCACCATTAAGCTCAAATACAGCCAGGTAATGTGACCAACCATCATCAACAGATTCCGGTACCTGTATGAGGCCAGAGGCTCTTTGAACTCCACACTGCTGCTTTTTCGTACATTGCTGTCTTGTGTGGCATTCCTCAAAGGGCTGCGTGAGTTACTTTTAGCTGGGTTCTGATGATTTTCACCTCTTGGCTTTGTATTCCTTCTTGAAACATCAGCTTGCCTTCCATCTAGGAACAAAAAAACAAAAGAGGTCAGAGCTTCCTTGATGGTCTTTCACAACAGAGCAAGTAATCATGGCTCTCTAAAGACCATGTTTCAGATAGACATGGGCCGCTTTTAAGGTTTACCCCAGAATTGAAAAGTCACAGTTTCAAACCCGGTGCATGTTTCCATTATAACATTCCTTCACTATAAGCATTTTATTTATTCATTTACAAATCGAAGAGAAATCAGAGACAGTTCAGGTTGTGAACGGCTGCAGCATCACCACCCCCCACCCACTAACTCCTTTGTAGCTGCTCGCTCTACAGTTTGAATTATGACTGAAGGCTTCAAACTTTTCTCCCTGCTTCTGCCCTTTCAGACAGCTCGGATGCATGCAACGCTTGGCACTGAAACATATTAAAGTCAGCTATAAGAAAATACCGTGGCTACCCGAGCAGATGGAAAGCAACAACCTGAAGGAAGAAGATTGCTCTAAATGTCAATAAACAGAGGAAGAATACAGCTATTATAATAGCATATCAGTGGCCACATCAACCAGCGCTATTTGCTAAAATAAAGGTCAAGTTTGAGCCATGTTGAAATTAACAAGCAACCTTCAGTGTAATTCATTAAATAAAAAAAAAAATTAACAACCTGTTGATATAATATATATGAGCTGTTATCATAAAAATGTGATATTCTTGCTAAAGGTAACATACCGTCAAAATTTCATACTGGTCCATGCCTATTGTAAGGATGCAAGTTTTATACATTGCAGTAACTCACCCCTGGTGTGAGATGTTCCTGATGTTTTCTTCTTGGGGGAGAAGGTATCGAGTAGAACACCAGTTCCAGGAGTGGCTTCCAACCGGTTTTCTATGTGCCGAAGCTACAAAAGAGGAACATACATTTCAAATTCTCAAGAATGCAAGAAGGTAAGCAAAAACAAGGCAACTGAGGAGAAACCATTTCTGTGTGTACTTACAGCAGCTTTGGACTGAGCTAAACTTTTCCATGCATTTGTAAGCTCTGAAAAACAGAATAACAGAGAATTCACACACACAGAAGAAATATCAGTAACCCAGTTTCTATCTAGCCTACTAGTGTAAATTACATTTAAGGTTCCTTAACATACCTGTACCAATATTGTGATTTGGAAAGGGTTGAGCAGATGTTTTGAGGGGTACTTCAGTGGTTCTGCTGCTTCTCATCTCTCCCACTCACCTGTAGCCAAGATGGAAAAAAAATTCTAAGCAAAATAGCTTGTGGGAATAAAAAAGTAATCAATGAATAACTTATGCAATAAAAACAAAGAAACAAAATATATTTTTCTAATTAGCTTGAAGATAATCATTCAGTCTGGACACAAATAATCAAAAGACTAATCCAAAAAGCACATCATCTGGCTAAAAAAGCACATTCCCTTGATGAAAGCACACATCAGCAAAGTTGTGTTTACTGAAAGCAACTTAAAAGCTGAGTCAAATAACTGGATTAACCTAAGTAGTGCTTTTATCACATAATGAATGTGTGACTGTTTGGTTCTAATAAGGGATCCTCTTCTCCACAAAATAACAACACTGCATTGATAAATTTTCAGTTTCAGTCACTACTGGACAACTCTCTAATAAAGTTATAACTAGTAGTTTGTTGTGGTTATCCTTTTAGTACCCAAATAAAACGCCCTGAGTCACGTGATGTTTTGGTAAGTAAAGGCTTCCACTCATACCAATCAAGTGACACAGCCAAGAGGGTGAAACTAGTGGGGGGAGAACAAGAACAAGTCACATTGATCTTCCAACATTTGAGATTTTACAATTACATATGTTCTCTTACAGTATTAAGAACAGAAAGCAGGTTTAACAAAAGGGTTTACAATGTAGCTTCTATTTAAATGGGAGAGACCAAAAACAATGGGTGCATTTACCGGTACTAAGAAATGTAGTACTCATGCTGTTCCTTGCAATATCAAGATGTGAACTGAAAGAGGACAAGTCTACATTTAAAAATACTTCATATCAAAAATGAAAAACGCAATCCTGAATTTGGTCAAACACCTACTTGTACTAAGATAACCATTTATTTTTAAATACTACGTTTTCTTAACACTGCGGATTGAATCCCTAATTAGCTCTAGAGTATCTTTCAGGAACAGCCTTATATGTGACTCAAAACCAGTTTAGGCATTTATGGCTAGCGAAGCAGAAACTCAAAAACACTGAAACTAGACAATCCTTTACTTAGATAGTTGGGAAGAAAATACCATGTTATTTTATTTTATTAAAACAAAACTCCCTTTACACATTTGATTATTATAGTGGAAATTCAAAGTCAAATTTGTAAAATCTAAACCATTCCTTTTCTTCGAGGTCATGACAAAGTTCAGATGAATATGTAACTTTAAGAGTTAAAGAAATCACAGTCGCATTAATCAACAAACATCCTCATGAGTAGTGGTTTGATTTGGTATATCTTTAACAACTCCAACCTACCGTTTTATTTGACACAATTAAACGTGTATTGCGATTTGAAAAACGTACTATTATATAATCAATATTTAATTAGCAGCAAAACTTAATGCCATGAGAAATAAGTAGGGGTATTTCTCATGTTACTAAAGGGTAGCAACATGTGGCTATCACATTTAAAGAGACAATAAAATAAAGAAAAGTGTTGCAATCTAATTTCAAACCACAAATGGCATACTATGCAAAATACTATCTTAGCCAAGCATGTAAAGAGGAAATACTGGCCAGGGTTTCCTCTTTACAGGAAAATAGTTCTTTTCTCTCTTTTTTTTTTTTTTTTAATGACAATAACTCTCAATATGGCAAATCACTTATACTGCGAGTTTGCTCATTCAACATTCAGCTTTGTCATGAGACCTGCAAATTACATTTAGCACTGACCTCGTAAAACAAAAACAAAATAATTAAATATATAAACACGCACATATTTGTGGAAAATGTTTTTTTTTTTTTTTACTTTTTTCACAGGTAAATATGTAGAAATAACAAGGATTGTGATAGCAAAACTAACAAGGTACTTTAGAAACTTGAGAATATACATCTCAGAATATACAATTGATTAGCCATTTTCTAATAAGTTTCTGGATAGCTAAAAACCCAACAACGACAGTAACACATCCTTTGCTGTTTTTGGATATATTCAAAATAGGAATTCATTTTGACCAGATAATTGTCGAAACCGCATACTCGAGTTTCGCTAGGTGGCAGGAAAAACATCAACTTAGCATAGCAACAATTTGTCAGCATTAAAAAAGACATACCTTTAGGAGAACGGTCCAATTTCTCTGGTTGTCCACATTTAGGCTGAGGAGCTTGTCATATGAAAGTCATAAAATCTCAAACTTCTCTTTTGGTTTCCTTTGGCGATCTGTTTGCTACCGTCAGCGTCGCTAGCTAACGTTAGCTAATCAACTAGCCAAAAGCTACAGCAACTAAACTGCCAACTTTTTCAACAGACGTACTTCCATTTTTTTCCCAACTTGTTTTATAAGAAAGGTATCGTTCCCAAAACAACTGTAGGGGTTGTTTAAAAAATTGTTTCCGTCTGTCTTTCCGACGTCGCCTTTCCCGGGTTACTATGTTGACGTTTTTCAACGGTGAAACTAGTATCCAAGACGGATAGATAAGTTACAACGAAATATCGCGATAGCTGGCTTGCGTCATATGGTCTGACGCTCTTCTCAAACACGAAAAAAACCCTGTAACGATCGGTCACATTAGAAATTAAATTCCCGATAACCTAGATACTTTCTAAATACTAAAACCTAAGCGTTTGGTGCCTGCGCTTTTGTTTAAATAGCACGTATGACAATATATGAGTTAAAACTCACTGACATGAAAGAAAGCCCCCTTTATGCACATAGAAAACAGTCAAAACGACATCTTAGACTATACTACCCTCTTGTGGCCAATGTGGGTAATACATAAACCATTCAAAAGGTGTGTGCTCCTTTTAAACCTGCACAGCTTTAGTTTTAATTTTTCATAAACTTTGTTTTCGCTCGAATCGGCTATTAAGGCATTTTAAAGGCAGATATTTTGATTTTTACAGTATTTAAAACGTTGTTATATCTATTTTTTTTTTCATTGACAAACATGTGAAGGCTGTAAAAATTAAGAGTTTTTTTTCTGCAGCATGTGGTCTGGATGTTCACAGGTGAGTCATAAATATATAAACCGCAGTGCAGTAGTCCGTTAAGATGACAGACCATCGGGTTTCCAGGTTATGGATTTTTGTTAAACCATGCAGAAGGCAACAAGTAGGATTCTTGTAATGTTTGAAAGCATTTCTGTTATGAAACAGCTGATGTCTTAGATTGCATCTCAGCCACTGCATTTATAATCGGCTTAATTGTATGTTATGATATATTCTTTAAAAGGGGGATGTTATTTAGGCAATCCATCCTTTTCTTTCGGTTCCCCTCGGCAAATAACCTGCTATAACCCAGACTCCCTTCCACTCCTCCCTCATTCTCTCTCCTCTCTAAGGACTCAGAGGAAATACTACAGTGGAGGTGGTCGTTTCTACAGACGCGTTTTCATTTTTTATATGGAAAGAGGACCGAAATGGACACAAGGTTTTGCCTTTTAGGTAAGAAATTGAAATTCCTCTTTTTCCAGTGCACTAAAATAGTAGAATATAGAATATATTTTGCAGTTTTCTAACTGCACACAACTAAAAGGTGTTATTTTTTTAATGGAAGAGGGAAAGGCTGAGGAAAGAAACACTGTCAGTCACTTTTAGTTGATTTTGTAACACAAAAATTTAATAGAATTACTACTGAATGGTTGCCCATCAGAAATCAAAGCGTAGCTCATCCTTTTATTGAAAAATTATTCTACAAAACATTCAAAATCAATGACAATGCATAAGTCATTCTTCAATGCATTCTGAGTTATACTCAGTGACAAAGCGTTTTGGCACTATTCTGATTGTTTAATAAAATTGTCAGTATGAGAAAGGAAACAAATCAGACAAACAGACTTTTAAAAACAAAATGTTTATCTGACTTGCTCCCTAATAAATACAATCCTACAAGGTTTTCTTATAAGGTTTACTTCTGACAATTAGTTGAAGAAATTATCTTTGTTTTTATGTATTTATTTAGAAAAACATACCCCAAGCAATATATGTATTGGGATGGGGGTGAGACATTAGGGCAACCTATTAATCTATTTTCTGAAATAGAGTTAAGTTTAAACAATTGGTGTTTGTTAGTTGTTAAAGCTACTAAAGGAAAACACAGCATTTCCAGATGATTTCATTACTTCACACGTCCTGTTGTTGTCTCCCCCTGTAGGGTGGTGGGCTTTTACTAGAATTAATCAAGTGATCGTATTTAGCAAAGAGAAAATGGATCCAGTCTTTGATCGATTCCCCTTCTTTGGACTCCCTTGTTAATTATTTAATCATATGAATACTTACCAGTTACACCCCCAGTGTCTTTATTTCCTGTTTTATTAATCGTTTCTTCTTGAGTGCTCTGATTGGCCAGACCAAATTGCCCCATTCTCCCTGACAAGGGTGTAAATTGCTTTTCATGGTGTATAAATTAATGCTGCTGTCCAGCTCAGGAGGGAACATCAATGTACTTCTTAAGCTCTATTTTCATTGACCATACTGTGTTTAATAGCAGACAAAGTCTTTGGTTGATCGCTCTCAAAGATTATATAATTGCAGCAAACTGAAAACAGATTACTAACCCTTAAGCTCCATTTCCCTTGGTTACATTAAAACCCAGACTTTATTAGTTTATTCTCTAATATTATGTGGAAGGCCAATGCAAAGTTATGCATGACTATAAACAAAGAAAAAAGGTTGGAAAAAATATAAAATGTTTTGACAATCATTGTTATTCAGCCCCCTTCAATATGTGGTCATATCAGAGGTTTGTTAGGGATCATTACAGAACAAACAGCACAGCAAAGAACAAAGGACAGGCCAGGGAGAAAATATGGGGGATTTATTGTAGAGTTAAAACAGCACCTTCTGCTTTGGAGGAGCTTCAGAGAGACAGCACTCAGGTGGAAAATTCACTTCATAGACTAGCTATTGTTTATGCCAATGCAAGTAGTTTGATCTGTATTGAATAGAGAATAAAAAAGGGATTGCTTAAAGAAAACCATAAAAGTTCAGGTGATCGCGCAAACAGGAGGCATATGGATATCTGGGCAAACACTGAGCTTTTTTGCCTATATTCAAAATACCATTAGAGGAAATGGGTTTCCTCAAAAGGACAGAAACGTTTAAAAGAATCTATCATACCATACAAAACAAATGCTGCTCCACGGACAAACATATTCAGCTCTAAGTTTTCCATATAATGTTTGTGAATTTTTTGTTGTTTATGTGTTTCAATTCTTTTAAACAGCATGTGTTAACAATGAAGATAATTATTAATTTTAAAACCTGAGTCAACACCTTTGTTGGGTGAAAGAGTTCAGGTAAGCTACTAAAGAATGAAAAGCATCTTATGCAACCGTGGTGTCAGGGACTCTTTTCAAGCTGCCGTTAGTCTAATTTAATTTTAGTGAGCGACACCCACCATTTGATCAGTCGTGTCCAAATACTCAGAATCACTTCAACGGCATGGATGTCTGAGAAATGTAAATGTTCGTTTTGAAGTGTCTAAGGAAAGGATCCATGTTATCAGATGTCCTGGTCTTTCTGTGACACAAAGTGCAACCTGTAAATGGATAATATAGCGATGCCAATGGTCAGGAGGGGGCATGACAGGTCAATAGGTATGTATGGAGGTGGGTAGAGTACCCCAAAAATGTATTCAATGAAGAGAGGCACTGCTGTAACATTTAATTACTAAAGTAAAAGTAGAAAGTAATCATAATCAACGAGTAATCAGTAGGAGTAAAATAGTGCTTCAGAAGAGGACTAGTATTGAGCAGCTGCTGGCTCCTAGCACCCGATTTAAACGTTTTCCACATGAACCTATAGACAAGACAACTTTATTTATATAACCCACATCTATACAAAGACAATCAAATATGCTTTACATGAATTAAACGATAAAATAGAAAAAAATAAAAGCTAGTGAAGATAAAAAAAAGCATAAAAGCAGGTAGTAAAACAAATAAAAAAGTTGGAACACAACCTGAAACTAATGCCTCAGTTAACATTTTAACATCTGCCATTAAAAGCAGTTCTAAAAAGGCAAATACTGCTCATAACTGTGAACACATTACCTAGAAAACTAATTTTTACAGTAAATAATGCATATATAACAGGAACATTTAAAGAGCCTCCAGCTAGATCTACTGTTTACTATATTTATAATGAAGAGCTCAAGTTACTCGTAGTGGCACTGTAACCAGAAGTTGTACTTAAGAGTAGCAATACTCTCACAGATTATTATTTAAGTCAAAGTAAAAAGCACAGCTAAGTACATCTGCTCTTAAAAGTGTTTTTTTTTTCTAATTTACTAAAGTAAGTTGTTTTCTAAAATGTACTCATGTAAATGTAACATAGTAAATGTATTTACTCTTCCCACCTCTGGGTAAATATTTTTAAAGCTTTGAAATTAAAGCAGTGAGATATTAATACCAACAGAAATTCTGAAACAACGTATCACAGAGGAGAAAAGACTGACAAGTGAGTTTTTATGCTTTTCTGTGGTCGAAATGTAAACGAAAATTGGTAAACGAAAAAAAAAAAATGTAAACGGAAATCAAAATGTGAACAAATTAGACTTGAATAAATAGGTATTGAGAACATAATTACGCAACACAGCTTAGACTTAAAGTTTCAGAAATATTTAAAGTAGGGTTACGTTGAAAAAAATGCAATAAAATGTTTAGACAGAAACATAAAAGGATAAAAGAAATAGACAAATAATACAATCAGTACGTAGCAGCTGCTGAAACGTGTTTTTAAAAACTGAACATAACAGTAGTTATTGTGTAATGGTAGATTAATGCACACTGGCAGGTCTGAGCCTATATAAGTGTTGTGTGTTATCAATGTGTGCTTAGATCGGTGGAAAAAGAATTACTGAAGTACCTTCTCTCACCTTCATAATAATCAACTTATGGTGTTGATCATAATCAGGAAATTTTTCACTCAGCCCTGGTGAAGTTATGAATCTCAGTCTGCTCTTGTTGAAAACAGCAGTTGGCCTCTTTATCTTGGATGATGACTAATTCCTGCATATTTATTTCAATCCTCTCCTGTAGTATGAAGCTCTTGTTTAACAGACAATCAGCAGTTCTTCAAAACACATTGTGCAAGTAGACTGATTATAATGTACAGTTTTCATTTATCTGAATACAGAAGCTCTGATAAGCAAGAAAATAACCTTTACGGTTTCAAAGTCTAGAGAGCCCATTAGAGAATGTCTTACTTGTTCTGCAAAAATACAAGAACTCTCTTTGGGGTTACAGTGTCTGGTGTAAAAATGAGCTGTAGAGTTGAGTTTTGGCAGCACTGTGGCAGATGAAGGATCCAGAAATGTGTAGTTTATGTCTACCTTGAGTACTGTTTTTTTTCCCCATTGTAGCACCCAGACAGCATGATGACACACAGGATGTCAAATCTTTATTGGTATCCCAGTTCTCCAACTCTATACATGTAGTTCGGACTCTATTAAAGATTAATTGCACTGAAAGTTGGA